CATGTTGTTTTTCCCCTTTAGCGGACGTCTTTTTCGTTGTAAAATACTAGGAGAAGATGTGCAATCTCTCACAGAGAATCGTGAATCATCTGAATCATAAGCACTGCTTCGTGTGGACAAGACGGTTGTAGAGAAATTATTAGAACATTGATTACTATTTGACGACGTTGATAACACATCGCCACTCTTTTCCAGAAAGTTCTTCTTGAAACCAGATGAAAAGTTTGAACATGGTTGAATCATTAATTNATCAGCTCTTGATTGTAATGTTTTGGAACCTGAGGATTCAGCACTTTCACTACTGATGATGTCCACTGAATCTTTCTCAGCTTCGCTGCTTTTTTCGATTCCAGTTAAGGTTGATGCAGTGAATGAGTGACGTTCGCTAAGCACTGTTGGCTTTTGACGCTTGACGTTTGAGACGTTAGTGTACGATCTGAAAAAAGTATAACATTACATCACAAAATAAGCCAGAGAAGGTGTTGAAACATTCTATATTTACTAAATGTGAACTTACTTTCTCCTTTTAACATGATCATTTAAGAAAGCCATTTGGTCAAAAAATGTAAAAATGGTCCTTTGAGTAGNTCCACTACCACTCTTTGTATCGTTCTCTTTTTGACGTTTTTCTTTTGTAAATCTCTCTCGTAGTGCTTTCCATCGATGTTTACAGTCGTGAACTAAAAATTGTTATTTCATAATGTAAGAGAAAGATTCAGAATGCTACGATACTTCAGTACAAGCTTTAATAAAATTATTGCAGTGCAAATATTTATGATATACATANTCAATCTAAATTGAACAACTATTATTTACAAATAATATAATAGTATCTACCTGCCAAGTTCAATGTTTGGGCTATCTCTTTCCATGAATTTTCCTTCATCACTTTATCTTTGAAATTACAATCTTGCTGATTATACAAATGAGGATATGCTCTCACTGCGTCTATTAGCATTTCATCAGAATCTTTTTTTACTTCAAAATATTCTTCATCATAAAGATTACTGTCAAAATTGAACATATTACAATAATCACCGTGGTCAGTCATTTTAAACACCGTGCGTATATAAGTATAACCTCACTAGCTTGGTGTCGTTTTTTCGAAATCGAGCGCGTTATGGAAGATGGTTTGTAATTGGTCATCCGTACGACGTAAGACGTAAAAATTTCATCCTTA